GCTAGACCTATAGCCGCACCTTCGAGAGACCAATTTCCATATACTTTTAGTTCTGATTTCACTAACTTTGCAACCAGAACCTTACGTTCCCAAGCAATTGCAAGCAATGAAACTCTTTCACTAGCTTCTGCAGACATATTTTCTACAAGAGCAAGAAATATTTAGAAATAAGTCAACATCAATTATAATTTGTGATAAAATGAATCGGTACCAGTAGAACTATGTGTTTGTGTCATGTATTTCCATGCAGTATACGGCATAGACCCCTCCCGAACCCCATCTGGCCTAGAGAGTTGAGCATAGACTTGCAATGTAGGGCTCAGCCGTACCTATAACAAAGAAGTCTCAACAAAGCTGAATGAAAAATTATGGCACAAAGGCACATTGGAACCAGCAACCAGCACAAACATCAGATTTCCATACCACCAATGCAGTTTGATGAGTTACAAATACAACCACACCTTCTTCCAACAAAGAAGAGGATTCGTTGAAGAGTTTCCAACCTGCATCTCCGCCAACAACACCCATCATGCTGCTTATACTGCTGGCTGGGGTTGAGGTGTTTCCCTGAGAAAAAGGCGAAGCACTTCCGCTGAAGTCATCGAAAAGGAGTGGTGAAGCTGAAAGCACCAAGCCTGTACTTTGTCCATCAAGAAGACACTACAAGATTAACCCAAGTTCAACAAAGGACAAATGTGAGATGCTTGGATATTAAATAAACCCATAGGTCCCCTTTATACCATAACGATAGACTCAGCCCATTGCACATTAATGAAAAATGTTATATACCTGAGTTTTGATGGAGAATCTACTAAACAAAGGAACAACCGAGATAATGTGCAAGAGAACCAGACCCTTACAATCACCAGTAACTGCTTTAAATTGACGAGTATTCTGAGGATCTTGACCTAGAAATAAGGTATGTACTACTGGTGCTGTATGCTCACCACTAATAACTTTTGCTACAACCCCTTTCTGTACATCCCACAGGATAAGATGACCATCACCATAACCAGCTAAAAGAAGGTCTCCTTGTTGATTGAAAGACATAGATGTCACTGGAGCACGCAACCGATCACCTTGCATAGCAAGCATCAACATCTAACAAGAAAACAGCATATATTGATAAATGATGTTAGAGCTGATAACAAAACTCAGTCACATAAATGCTTGAAATTATAAGTGTCGGCATTACTGTTTTGTGCGTTGTCTAGTAAGCATTTAAAGAGTGTCTTAATACTAATCCATTAATAATGTGTGCATGTGTGTTGGGGAGGCAGGTTTTTTCTTGTGAGGTAGTTTAATCCCTTATTTTTATAAAAATCAAAAACAAAAAAGTTGTTTGCATTTTCATATTTTTTTTCTCATTCCTCAGATATTTCAAGCCAATCTGATAAAATATGCTTTTACTGTGAAATCTAAAAGAAAAACTTATCAAGTTAAAAGATAGCATTAAACATAATATTACTATTTAAAAGTCATATTAGTTGGTACTCCTGACAGGCCTTAACTGCAGCCTCATTGGTCTGCCTTCATTGTAGCCTCCAGCACCTTATAATCATATTACTAGGAATGAGGGGATATGTTTTGTCCTACATTGCCTTAGCGACATGACCTAACTAATGCTTATAAGGCTCCTCACCTTGTAAGTTTGTTTGGAGCTGAATTAAGCCTAAGTCTAAATTTGAAGATCAATCAAGATCTATCATAAATCCATCGTTGGGTAACTTGCATTGTCCACACTCCCAGCCCGTAGCCATCGGCACGAGGGGTTGTGTTGGAAAGCCACCTCAATTGCATCCTCTTTGGTTTGCCTATTGCTGCCTCTTTCATTGTACCAGGCAGTGTTATCAATCATAGATGGCAGAAAATGGCGGAAAGCAATAATTCACTACACCATATAATAGATAGGGTTGCAGGTAAATAGCAAAAGGCACATAGCCGTTGAAATATGACATATATGTTTGTTAAATATAAGTTATATGCAAGTAGCACAAAAATTGGCACAATATTAACGCAAAAGTTCAATTGGCTTAAGACTCGCTAAAAATGACAACAGAATGTAGGTTGCATGACGCAACTGACACCAACAACGACCACAGAAGCGGACAGAATCAAGACTGCAAATCCATGAATTTTATAGTGGCTATTTAACAACACTGGTAAAAGGTGTGAAGGTGTAATTAGTCTCACTGATTCTGTGAACTTAAATTAAGCACTAAACCCAAATTTTAAGAATTGCATTATTTTTATTGTTTAATATATCAGACTAGGTATAGGTTTGTGGGCAAGGATGTAAATTAAATTTCCATAATTCATTAAGCATTGAACTTGAGCTAGATCAAAAGAGTTTGATTGAATCGGAAGCAACCTTTCCATCAGAACTATCAGCATGATGAATGGAATATTTACTGGGAAAGACAACAATGAGCCCTTTTGACATTCCTACTGCAATATAATTAGCATGAACTGCCACGGCTCGGGCAGAACCTTGCTCACGCCTGAATGTTTGGGACGAAATCGCCCTGGTGACTGCATTATCAGCATCAACATCAAAGTATCCCAACGTCGTGGACCCTCTTCGAACGCCCTCGAGTCTCATTGGCTGGGCAGCAGCACCCTCTTCCAAATGCAAACCAGTTGAAGCTCGCTTTTTCTCCAATTTTTCAGCCAATTCAAGTGGTTTCATTGAAAATTCTCGTTTCTTCTCTGCTCTCTTAGAAGCCCTTCTGCTTTCCAATTCCTCAAGCCTCTCTTCCACTAGCTCTGAAACATCACCCAATGAACTACCATCGTCACTACCGCCACCACTCAGCTCATTTTTAACATGATCCACAGAGCTTTCACCATTATCCACCGTTTCTTCTGTTTCCACAGCTGAATCCATAGCTGTGATTCTCTTTTCAGAACCATCATTCCCATCCAAGTCACGATCATTATTATCTTCATCAAACGTTGAAGAATTCATATCCTTCCCATGGTAACCGTCAACCTCATCTAAATTCCTATTCTCCTCACTCACTATAGAAGAATCATTATAATTGCCATTTCCATCATCATCGCCATCCCTACTGTCATTATCAGTATCAATATGCACCTGATTGTCAGCGGCACTACCAGCCTTCAAATCAATGGCAATATCTGCATCACTCTCAACATGCTCGCCGTTAACAGAAGCACTTTCACTAGACTGAGTCTCGATTCTCTGCGGCACAGGATCGTATTTCTCACTAAGCTCGCCCAATTCGCCTTTAGAAGAAACATCGGAATAATCGTCGCTAGCGGCAGCGGTCGAACTCAACTCAGTGCTGATCGCAGCCGCAGATTTCCTCCTGGAAATGATCGCCGCCGCGTGCGGCGTAGGAACGGATCGAGACGCCGCAGCAGCAGCCGCGAGGGCGGCGCCCGGCTTCGCATTGGACCGCACGCCCTGTAGTAGAGAAGAGAACGGACGCGAAACGCGTGTGCGGTCGGAGAATTCGGCTGGTTTGAGCCGAGAAATTGAATCGAGTGCGGGTTGGAGTGGTTTTGGTTGAAGAGTGGGGTTTTGAGGATGGGAATTGGTGAGTGGAGAGAGAGAGTGAGAGGGAGAGGAAGGGGGAGAGCTTGAGGAAGAAGAAGTGTCACAGTCATTGAGAATTTCATCGATGGTGCGGTGGGGAGCATCGTCGTCGGCGTCGGAGGAAGAAGCGGAGGAGGAGGCAGAGTTAAGGAGTGAACGGACGTCGGGCTCCATGGTGTGTGCCCAACGACGATACGCACAAGTCTTTTGTTCTTTTATTATTTTAACTCAAATATTCAATTTAACAAAGAAAACAAAAAAAGTCATATAGTTTTAGCTTTAAACTTTTTTAAATAGTATTTATTAAAAAATAATAGTTACATGATTTATCCTTAACTTTTCATTATCCTATCATACAATTTTTTTATATACTTTATTAATTTATCAATTCATTATATCTTTAGTAAGACATATTAAAAAATAATATATATAATGATAGCATTTTCTACTTATCATAACAAAACATAATTGTTTTGGACCTGTATCTTTAATTTTTTGTAACATTAGAACAACTTTTTATTTTTATTAATTTATTATATTTTTAATAAAATAATAACATCACAAAAAATAATAAAACAGGATATCATTCCACCTATCATAACAAAACATCATTGTTTTGGAAGTGTATCTTAATCTTTTATAACATTACACAATAATAATAAGAACTAAAGCACCACCATGAGGCACCTAGCTATCAGCATATGCATAATCTCTGCACCTTCCCACCTTCTCTGCAGTGCATTGTATCCTTCTCTGACACTTTTAATTTGTTTATTGTACA